ATTCCCCTCCTGCCTCCTCCTCCTCCTCCCTCCTCCTGCTCTTCATCCTCTCCGCCTCCTCCTCCTCCTCCCCCTTCTCTCAATCCTCCTACTCCTCCCCCTCCTCCTCGCGCTCCTCCTCCTCCTCCTCATCTTCTTCATCCTCCTCCTCCTCCTCCTCCTCCTCGCTCTGGCTACCGCCAACGCTCTTTCCTCCCGAGAAGCCCACTTAAATCGAACGCGGCGTGCAAGATTCTAGGGACGCGAACGCGCCCGTCCCGCCGCCCCTTCTCTGACCCGCCCGGACCCGCCGCCACCCGGTGCCGCACAACCGGACGGCGGGGCGGCCGGGCCGGGCGGCTTATCTGCAATTCAGATTCGCTCGTCGGGCGGATCGCTGGCTGGGCGGCGGCGACGCCTCACCCTCAAACTCTTTGAAGCGACGAGGGAGAGACGCGCCGCGACCTCCCAACGGGAGGGGGAGGAGGAGGAGGGGAGCGCAGGGCGAAGAAGAGGGGGTCGAACCCCGAACCCAGCAAACAGAAAGCCGGGGGAGGAAGGGCAGGGGGTCGGACGCCTAGTAAACCCCGACAGCACAAGCCCCCGAGGGGAGCGAGGAGGGCGCGTCGAACCCACGTAACCCTGACAGAAACCCGGAGAGGAGGGGAGGGGTTGGACTTCGAACCAGACAGAAAGCCAGGGGGGGGAAGAGGGGAGAAGGCTCAACCGCGTGAGAAGAAGGATGAGGAAGAAGTGAAGGATATGAGAAGGAGAAAGAGAAGGAGGAGGAGGAAGACTTAGAGGAAGAGGAGGAGTTTAAGGAGGAAGAGGAGGAGTTGGAGGAGGATGAATGGGAGGAAGAATAGGAACAGGAGAAGGATCAGGAGGAAGAAGAGAAAGAGGCAGAATAGTAAGATGAAGAGGAGCAGGAGACGGATGATGATGATGAGGAGGAGGAGGAGGAGGATGAGGAAGAGGCTGCGTGGATTCATCTGCATTCATGCGGGCGGCTGTCGGGTGGTCTGCGGATCGTCGGCTGCTGTCTACATGGTTCTACCATCACGCACGGCCGCTGCTGCGAATGCAAAGCTACCGATGGAAGGAGGGCGAAAGAGAGGGGGGTACGGAGGGAAAGTGTGTGTGAGAGAGAGAGAGAGAGCGGGGAGAGTGAGAGGAAGTGCGTGTGTGTGTGTGTGTGTGTGTGTGTGTGTGTGTGTGTGTGTGTGTGTGTGTGTGTGTGTGTGTGTGTGTGTGTGTGTGNAAAAGTTTTTTTTTGTTTTGTTTGCCAATCAACAGGGGGGGCCATGGCCCCCTTGTGCCCCCCCTTAGCTACGCCAGTGCATATAATTATATAATATAGATATATATAGGGGTTTGTTAGCGGCAGGGCAAGGAAAGGTTCGAATCCCTTGATGGGCACGAAAAATTCTTCCACGTTTCATTTTTTCTCATGTTAATATTATTGAAATTCCCAATGTCAATGTTTCGTATAACTGTAAAAGTAATTTCTACTACAGACTTTCAGGGCATAATTATGATAAAAATAAATTTATATGCCCAGGCTAGCTGGGAAGCAAACTGCATGCAGTGCACCTTCGCTCACTCAGGACAGAGCACTTATATTATATCAACTTTAATTTTCAACGTTGATTTAGGTGCTCTGCTCTGCTCAGCTTAGGTGCTCTGCTCTGCTCAGGAGTAGCAGCGCTTGAGCCCATGAGCGAGAGCGCCATCTGTCGTGGAGTTTGGCTGGGAAGTTGATCAGCACGCGCGCCACGTAGTGGCAGAATCTAGAACTACGAATAGTGTTTTGTTTTGTTCGACGTTTCTACGATATGGAGTTTCCTACGACGTGTAACAGTTGGAGAGCCTGGTCGGTTTAGGTATCCAAAAGCTTCCGAGGGTGTTTTAATTAAACTTAAACATGATTGGCCTCCACTTCGTGTCAGCTTTTTTTCCTACACAACTTATAACGGTTCAAAGATGTTCAACCATTAACCTCTCCTATAATTTAATATACCCCGGTCAGGTGTAGCTCAGGGCGACTGGTGAACAAGGGCTATACCGTAGAACTAGAGCTAGGTCAGGTTTCGCTCTAGTACTATAGCCCGCGTTCGATTAACTGCCGCGGATTAACTAACCTGCGGCAGTTAATCGAACGCGGGCTATAGTACTAGAGCTAGGTCAGGTGAAGATTGCCATTCCTTCAAGATTGCTTTTAAAGGTCTGTACTTTTGCAAAAATGCCACCCAGGGTCCCAAACTAGGCTTGCATCTTTGAGTTTATGACGTACAATAAACATTATCTAATATATATTTGAGTTCGTATGTATGTATGTATGTATGTATGTATGTATGTATCTTTAATTCCCTATAGGCGGCCAAACCGCCCAAGCGATCTGGATGCAATTTTCACAGGGCCATCTCTTATACCCGGGGTTCCTAGCTGGAAAAAACCTGCCAAACCGTCAAACTCACCGAAAAATCCGTAAAAAACCCCTCAATTCGTGAATCTTCCCACAATGTCAGCACTGATCGACTGTACAGTGCTGCCACACACAGAAAAATCAATCACCCATTCCATCAGCTGCTGGTATTGTGAAACCGAAACCGATACTAAAACAGAGCACAACCAGGAACCTGTTCAGAGGTTACGACTGCATTGTTTATCAAGAGGCTTTGAAATGAGAAGTGCAACCCATTCGTACATGCTGTTAGAATAACTTTTTCTTATTTACACCATATTACCAGGAGTAGATAATAGGGAGGAGTGTGACATCAATAAACAAGGGAAATTCGTCATTTACTAGCCTTATAATACCTACGATTTACTACGCGTAACTCATCCAACTTGAGCTCAAATCGGACACAGTACATTCGCCAATCATCGTGCGAAATCGTTTCCTCGTAGACACCCGCAATCCGGAGATACAGCCTAAAACGTACGACACGATTCTCCATTCTCTGGCCATCAATCCAACGCCATTGGGCGCCTATAATTCAGACAAGGCAGCAACACTGCCGCGCAGTCGCTGTGTTTGCTCTCTCGGATAGCTGAATGTGGCGTTGTGGCTCGCAGGGAGATTGGAGATCGACGCAACACTCGACGAGCTAATCATGCGGTTGGCGTGCGTGCGTGAAGGCATGCCAGCTATGTACAAAGGTGGCCTGTGTAGCTGTGTACCGGTTCAAAGGTTATCTCGCCGAGTGTTGATGCCTAATCTCCCAGCGAGCCACATGCCTCGCTCAGTTAGCAATAGCGCGTTAGGTAGCTGCCTTTTGTTTGAATTATAGGCGCGCAATGGCGTTGGATTGATGGCCAGAGAATGGAGAATCATGTCGTACGTTTTAGGCTGTATCTCCGGATTGCGGGTGTCTACGAGGAAACGATTTCGCACGATGATTGGCGAATGTACTGTGTCCGATTTGAGCTCAAGTTGGATGATTTACGTGTAGTAAATCGTAGGTATTATAAGGCTAGTAAATGACGAATTTCCCTTGTTTATTGATGTCAAACTCCTCCCTATTATCTACTCCTGATATTACTATTATGTTCCAGGGGTTCTACGTTGGGTTGTGCTGTCATACAAATGTCATACGTAACCGTTTTTTACCATGCTTATTATCTGATTAGACTGATTTGTAAATATTTATAGAGATTCACTATAGTTTAGTATGAGTATCATATAGTTTGAGAGGTTACGATTGCTCAAAACATCAACGCATAAAGACGCGTACCAAGTGAGTAAACATTCTTTTATAATTACAAATTTCCCCACTCGCTGGCCTGTCTGTATACTATATATCGACTTTTTTTATTCATGCTACGATTTCAGAATCCATTGTACCATTCGAAAGCTATGCCTTTTCTGATTCAGTAGAAAAATTCCTTTATTTCAATGTGCATGGTTGCGCGCCAAGCATTCACTAGACAATATCCAATGGACACAGACCCCACTCGCTGGCCTGTCTCTATCTGTACTATATACCCAATTTCGTTTATTCACCCTACGATCTGACAATGGATGTACGTGGTGAGCTCGATCAACAGTTCGAGACGCCAGCAATCTCTACATATTTCCACCAGACAATAACACGCAAACCATTGTTTATCAAGAGGTTTTCAAATGAAAACTGCAACCCATTCGTACATGCTGTTATAATAACTTTTTCTCATTTGCACCATATTACTATTATGTTCCAGGGGTTCTAAGTTGGGTTCTGCTGTCATATAAATGTCATACGTAACAGTTTTTCCCCATGCTTATTATCTTATTAGACTGATTTGTAAATATTGATATTGTGTGCAATGTTATATTGTCGATTTTTACCCAATGTTCCTATTGTGTCCAATTATTAGTAGTATGAATTAGTAGCACGATTTTACCCAGCGCAGCGGGTACCCGCAGCTAGTACTATATATATATACAATATAACAATATACAATTACCCTCCCAATTACAGTTCGTTGCTATACGACCAGCATTGCTGTAATGGGAAACGACAGGCAACTGGTGCCCGCTCACTAGCACTGCTGCTGTAATTTAGACATAGCTGCATCCATGTGCTTTTGGTTCATTTGCATTTGATAAACAATCCAATCTGGCTAAATGGTAAAAGTAAATGGGGGCTAATGGTAGTAATACTATTACCTAAATGCACCAATAAGGTACTAGATGGCAGGGTTCTTCCCAGGCCTGTACTGCATGTCAGGCCAGACAAAGCTGAAGCTAATTTATGACATCCCATAAATCCTCAACATGTGTTAATTGCATAATCGATATGCCTTAATTTCCAGCCGTGTTTACTATTGGGAATCACAATGCAGTAACATTGTTTTTACATGTTGATCATGTATATGTTTCCTGACTGATCGTGTTTACCTAGCTGTGTATCGGGGCCGCTTATAACAAGGGTAATCGACTCTGGTAAAACCTCCTCTCGAGCCCTCCCCCATCTATCCATAAATGACATGCCTTCTGAAATTCCCATGTAGAACCCTGAGGTAGCATTACTTAGTACTGAATAGTATTACTAGTAATTCTTTTGCAAGATTCACACACAGATTATATACATTTTTTGAACTGTCAATGTACATTCGTTTTACAGTAAATAGCAGCAGCAGTGAGAGGTTTTTGGTAATCGTCGTCTGCTGCTGCTGTGCATGCTGCTCCTGTTCACGACGTTGTCAAGCCAGTTTCTGCGAAACAGTTTTGCTCGAGTCACCTTGCGCAGAGCCTCTGGACCTCTGCTCTACGTTCGCACACATACCAGAAGTCCACCACTCTACAAAGTTTTCTTGGACGCCAGAAACCCGCTGCTGCACAGCATTCGCACAGACGTGGGGCAGCTTACACGAGCAACTGTCATGGCCGACAACAAGTACTGTGTGGAGTATGCGAAGCGAGGCACGGCCGGTTGCAAGAAGTGCAAGCAGAAGATCGAGAAGGGGCTCCCGCGAATCGCGAAGGTCGTGGCGAACCCATTCAGCGAGGAGGGAGGCGACATGAAGCTCTGGCATCACGTCTCGTGCATGTTTGAGACGTTCATTGTAAGCGACTGTTGTGTGCCAGAGACGTGGCATGTTTGTCGTCAGCGACACTTGCACGTGTGTCATGCTGGTCCAGATTTCATATATAACTCGGCATCGTATATATAGATGGAGCGATCAATAGATAGGTGGGTAGGTAAGTTGTTGGCAGTCAGGCAAGGAGGTAGGCAAGCTGACAGGCAGCTGGGCAGGCAGACAGACAAAGAAGGAGGGAGGCAGGCAAAAAGGTAGGCAGTCAGGAAGGTAGGCAGGAAGGCAGGCAGGCAAGCAGACAGGGAGGCAGGCAGGCAGGCAGGCAAGCAGACAGGGAGGCAGGCAAGTAGACAGGGAGGCAGGCAGGCAGGCAAGCAGACAGGCAGGCAAACAGATAGGCAGGCAGGCAGGAAGAGAGATAGACAGGCAAGGAGGCAAGCAGGCAGGCATGGAGGCAGGCAGACAGATAGATAGTTGTATTCCCTAGAAGTTTCTCATACAGGATACATGATATCATCAGGCAATCTAACATTAAAACACTAATAACTGAAATTAATTAATAGCAAGAATACTTATGTGTGGGTGAGAATATGCAGTTTGTGATCAATATCTACATTCTCCTAACATAATTACATTGCCAAGGATGTCACTGAATTCGTGCAATGTAATGAATCTTCTTGTAGAGCGCGTATATTTTGGTGCTGTTATATTGCAGAAAGCTCGGGCAACGACCAAAGTTATCGAGGATCCTGAAGACCTGGAAGGGTGGGAAAACATGGAGCAGGCTGACAAGGACACTATCCTGCAGCTTATCAAAGGTACGGTGGGGTGCCTCATCATTATCAATGAACTCTCAATGTTTATTCAGTATGGTTACGGTTCCTTTTAAGTTCTTAGAAAGCGCTGACTCCCTCCATTACTGTGCGATGGAGCACGAGAGATGCCGCGTCATCTGTAAAGCACACCGGCATTTTTCAAATGTGGGTTTGTTATTACTCAATTATATTAAACAGAGAATATCGTTATGTAATGAAAGTAAGCCGTAATTTAATTGGAAGTAATGCTGACGGCTACATTACTGTAACTGTGTAGCAACACCGGAACAGACGGTAGGGTTATTTGCCGGGCATCCCAATTAAACGTACTCTGTGTAATCGGCCTCACAATCTAATTTGTTCACGTCAGATTTTTGCATTTGTCTGTTTATTAGAACGAGCGCAGCGGACGCCGAAGAAGGCAACACCAAAGAAAACGCCACAGAAGAGTAAGAAGGATACTGAGAATGCAGCTAGTGGTACCAAGGTTGACTCTGCACCAGGTGTATATGTGTTACTCTTCTTCTAATTTTTATTTTTATAGCAAATTAGTTATCACCAAAATTGTTTAACTATTGTAATTCAGCGATTCATACAATTGGAAACACAATTGCCTAGATGTTTCACGACAGCGTGGAGTTAAGATTCTGAGAAGTTGAAGAGAGATTTGAGAGATTTTTGTAAAATCCTTTAAGCTGCCACGACACCTACACCTGCACCTGCACCAGCTCAGGCAGCAGGCATCCCGGAGCACAAGGACAACAGCTTCAAGGCGTATAGGCGACTCTGTGCTTTAGTGGCAGAGGAATCCAGCTACCTTGGGAAGACGGCCCTGGTGGCCAAATATGTCAGCAAAGGTCGTGATGGAGGTAAGTAGTAGTGTAGTAGTTGTTATTGTGTGAGTAGGTAGGTGTGTGTGTGTGTGTGTGCGTATGTACGTGTGCAAGCGTGCATGGGTGCGTGCGTTTGTTAATATATGTGCGCTCGTGTGTGAGCGTGTGTTTGTGTGTGTGTACGTGCATCCTTGTGTGGATGAGTATGGGCGTGCATGTGCGTAATTGCATGCATGTATGTGTGTGTGCGTGTGTGTGCATAGGTGAGTGCATGCATACGGTTGTGTGCACAAGCATGTGCATGCGTCTGTGTCTAATGATTTTAAATAGGTTTTTAATTTGCTTCTTGCCTTACAGATAGCTTCAAGGGTGACACGTATCTCCTGATCAAGCTGCTTTTACCTGGTCAGGTAAAGAGAGTATATAATCTGCAGAATAAACAGCTAGTGAAGCTGTTTAGCCAGGTATGCCCATGTAGTCACATTCTATACCATTAACAGTAGGAAGTTTGGTTTAGCATAACAGTTTTTGTTTGCAAACAGCATAGAAGCTACATTAAAAAAATAATGAAAAGTATGTATGTGCTAATTTGTTTGTCTCCACGTAGTTGTGCTATGTTATTGCAAGCAAGTATACCCAATTTCTCAGTTTCTGTTAAATAATACACGGTCTCGATTATAATTTTATTCATAATTGTGTTAAACTTGCATAGAATTTATTCCTAGTCATCTCTGAAGTTAAACTTACTGTTTTGTTCTCCAGATATTTGGTACTAGTTTGGAGGAGATGGTAACAGACTTAGAACAGGTAATATATGGTTGCTTCATCATGTACACAAGACTGTAATGCCTAACAATTATACACAGTGGAAACCAAGTCATGTTCTCTGCTGTAAACAACGATATACAATATGCTTAACAGTGTTTTTGCACATTTTAGGGTGATGTTGCAGAGACAGTTTTCAAGTTTTTTGAGCTGAGCACCACAGACATACAGCCTGCAGCGAAAAGCACCCTGACCTTGGCTGAGGTCGATCACTTACTTGGCCAGTTGGCAGCAGAAACCAAAGAAGATGACCAGGAAAGAGTTCTGACCAGAATGGCCAAAAGGTATGTACACATGATAACATCATCGTTCAATAAATAAAGTTTTGATTCGTTCATCATTAATCACATCATAACTAAATGATCCGTAATGAGAATTAATACATGCTTTATGGTAGCGTAGGTCTGCTGTATTTATAGGATAAAATTGTAGATGTGTAGTAGTAGATATAATAGTTAAAGTAATAATATAAATGTAATATAATAGTAATAGTAAAAGATAAGAAAGTGTAGTTATTATATCATCAGGTAATGTGCTGTTTATCATATTGTATGTCGATTTCAGGAGCACTGCAAATGATTTGAAGATGATAATACGTCTGATTAAGCATGACCTAAGGATCAATGCTGGATCCAAGCACATGTGAGCATCACTATTCCAACATACACCAATTTTCCTCAGATTTCTCTCGTTGTCACTCTATCATTCTCTGAGCCATTCTGTTCTTACCTTTTGATTTCTCATAAATCACCTGTGTGACATTTATTGATCACTATAATTTTCTCCCTTCCTATAAAATGGTGGAGAGAAGCCTGAACACTTGTTAACACTATAAATGATTCTTCATTAATGCGTGTGTTGCGTATTTTCAGAATAGACTCGAGGTGTTAATCCACGTGTATATTTCTGTGCAGCTTGGAGGGTCTGGATGCTAATGCCTATCCTGCATTCCAAGCGTCGCGAGACCTGAGAGATGTCGTCGATCGAGTGTTAAAGAACCAGCGAGAGGCTCGCGAGACGGGCAAGCCGGGCATGGCTAAGTCCATTAGTGTCCGAGCGTCCCTGATGACCCCCGTCCTGCCCATGTTGGTGAGTGTTGTGTCCAGTCTTTCCACATGTATGCTAGGTTTACCATCGGTGCACCTAGTGATGTTGATGTGTGTGATGCGGTGTTGGGCGTGTGTGAAGAGTAGTGATATCTGCTGGGTATTAACACATCCCTGACAGTAACTCTGAGTTCAGTGTCGTGTCTCGCAGGCCGCGTCTCCTACTCGCTAGTTCAGTGTCGTGTCTCGCAGGCCATGCCTCGTACTCACTAGTTCAGTGTCGTGTCTCGCAGGCTGCGTCTCGTACTGACTCGTTCAGTGTCGTGTCTTGCAGGCCGTGTCTCGTACTGACTCGTTTAGTATCGTGTCTCGCAGGCGGAGCCGTGCAAGTCGGTCGAGTTTGCGCTGAAGCGTTGTCCGAGCGGCATGTACTCCGAGATCAAGTACGACGGTGAGCGTGTGCAGGTTCACAAGCAGGGCGACCGCTTCAGCTACTTCAGCCGCAGCCTGAAGCCCGTTCTCGCTCACAAGGTATGTCCGTCTCCTCCTCATTACTAAAGAGATTAATAGATCATTAGAAATGATAAAATAGAGATAGATTAAGGCAAAGAGATTATTAAAAAAAGTTATTATTATATCCATCGAGCGCACGCAGGTGTCAGCACGAGTAGCCGAGCGGCATTGCCACGACCGCAGATGCTGCTTCTTTGTTTGAATCTACTCGTGCCGTGAGACATCCTAGCGGTATGATGAATGCGCGCATGCATGCTGCTACTCTGCAGGCATCGATTTAACAGAGCAATGCACTCGTGCGCCCGCGAGGTACCAAGTTACTGTGCGTGGTTTAACATTAAGGTTAACGAGTACTCATTTAGTTGTCTACGGTTGTTATCTGTGCCCACAGGTGCAGCATTTCAAGGAGTTCATTCCGCGGGCATTTCCGCACGGCAAAGACATGATTCTCGATGCAGAGGTGCTTCTCATCGATACGAATACTGGGAAGCCGCTCCCGTTCGGAACGTTGGGTGTGCACAAGGTAGCTTCCCATTGTTGGCTGGCTGTTGGTAGCTAACATATTTATTTATATATATATATATATCAAGTGTACATAATGGGAGAAGAGTATGACACCGATATATATATATATATATATATATATCAAGTGTACATAATGGGAGAAGAGCATGACACCGTTTAACAGCGTTTTGCATAGTTTTTAACTTGAAAATATTTTATCAATATGTGAATAAATATATTCAAACTTTACCTTGTTTTCGTCTATGATTCTTCCTTAATCATATGACACCACCAATTTACCTGAAAATCGTATGTGTTCTTTAAAAAAGTTTTTTGAATACGACACAGTTTCACACAGTTTTCCCAACCATTTGCATCTCGTTGACCAATGTTTGTTATTGGATTAGTGTTCTATTGTCTCTGATGGGACGCTGGGGGCTGTTGGGGATATTAGGTAAGCACAGTAACAGCACTTGTTTTGCTTCCTTATCACCAGGAACACGATGGCAACACAGCTAAAATCAGCTGCTAGCTCGCATTTATTTCTAGCACGCTGGAAACGCATTACACACTGAATACAATTTGATGCCTAATATCCCCAACACCCCCCAGCGTCCCGTCAGAGACAATAGAACACTAATCCGATAACAAACATTGGTCAACGAGATGCAAATGGTTGGGAAAACTGTGTGAAACCGTGTCGTATTCAAAGAACTTTTTTGAAGAACACATACGATTTTCAGGTAAATTGCTGGTGTCATATGGGAAAACAAGATAAAGTTTGAATATATTTATTCACATATTGATAGACTATTTTCAAGTTGAAAACTATGCAAAACGCTGTTAAAACGATGTCATACTCTTCTCCCATTATGTATTCTTGATATATATATATCACATCTAGTCAACATGGGTAACACAGTACAGTTTGTTCCGTGCAGACTGTCCAGGCCTCCACTTTCATACGTAACATACATATATCATTCTGGCGACATAGTATATTTTTACAATTTATATCACATAGTTGCGTTTGTCACTTGAAAATATCGACCGATAAAGTGGATGTTTCATCTAGACCTCCATTTTCTTTGTAGAAATCTGCTTTTAAAGATGCGGCAGTGTGCCTCTTTGTGTTTGATTGTCTCCATTTCAACGGGGAAAACCTGATGGAAACGTAAGTTGTTCGTGATTTGCATAACCATGACTATACTAGAGTAGTGATGCATGTAACAGCTGCTTACCAGATGAAAGGACGTGTTCTGTTAGCATTATTTTCAGTAATATAGCGTTGGATGGTCAACGATATTATTGTAATCGTCGCAGGTGCCAATGTGCATGTGTATCCCTTTATAAATCGTGATTACCATGGGGGTTATTTGCTCAGGAGCTGACCTGCTGCATCATAATGCAGTAAGTCACAGCCGGTGAGAATTTTATTTATTTATTTGCAGACCTATAAAGGAGCGCAGGAAATTCTTGCATGATAACATGACAGAAGTCCCCAATCATGTCATGTTCTCTGAAATGAAGTTCGTCACGGTAAGTCTAGATTCTAATTGATCCCATTAGATTTAGTAGTTAAATTTTGCTTTATTAGTAGCTGTGTAGTTTAATCCCATAACTACACCCATCATGGGTCATAATGCCAACATAAATTACAGTCAACCCTTTCATGTAAGGGTTCCTCAGGATAAAAATTGATAGACAGGTGTTTGTTGTATAGAAGTGGTTTCACTGTATAAATTCCTCTCAAGGGAACCACCAAATGTATTTTTTATAGACGTGCAGGTGTTCATTCTATACTCATGTCTACTAACACAGGTTTGACTGTAATATGCATTAACTAGATATCTACACACACACGCACACATGCACGCATATGCGCACACACCGGCTGACCGGCACACGCACGCATGAATGCACGCACGTACGCAGACATACACACTAACCATAACCCTAAACCGAATCCTAACCGAACCATATCATCATAATTATTTTATCTCTGTTGGCAGACTGCAGCAGAACTTCGTGCAATGATCACAAGGGCTATCAGGGAAGGACTGGAAGGTCTGGTCTTAAAAGACATCACGGTACGTGACTCTGTGCTATAGTGTGAGGTACATAATATCATGGTAAAGGACTGTGCTATAGTGTGAGGTACATGATGTCGTGTGTGTGTGCGTGCGTGCGTGCGTGCGTGCGTGCGTGCGTGCGTGCGTGCGTGCGTGCGTGCGTGTGTGCACAGGTACATGTGAATGTACATATATATATATATATATATATATATGTCTCATGATAGATAATTATGCTACTATTTACACAGAGCATCTATGAACCTGGCAAGAGACATTGGCTGAAGGTGAAGAAAGACTACCTCAATGAGGGTGCAATGGCGGATGCAGCTGACCTGGCCGTGCTTGGAGCTTACTATGGAAGTGGCAGCAAAGGTAGGTAGATGCAGATAACACGACGGCATCGCAGGATAAGTCACTTCACGCTGCCCAGCTCTGATCACCTCCATTAGTATGGGATCATGACATGCTTTGTGACAGCTGCAGCTTTACAAATATGGTATTTACGTCAATTCTTCGCTTTCACTCGTCTAAGCAGTCCTTGTTACGAGGGGCTTGCATGCATGTGGCATTGACATAGATGTGACTTGCGTGTATGGCACGTATTGTGTATTATTATCGCAGTAATGCGATTTAGGGGCTGATAAATTGTAGCTTTTCCACTGCGACATGTTTATGTCCTATTTGTAGGCGGCATGATGTCAGTGTTTCTCATGGGCACCTACGACCCCCACTCTGGAAAATGGTGTACAGTAACCAAGTGCAGCGGTGGCCATGACGACAAGACACTAGAACGGCTAAACAAGGAGCTGCCTATGATCAAAATCAGCAAGGTTTTTCCGAATTAGTACTTATATAAGGAAATATCCGCGTGATTTGTTGTCGTATTATTGAATATTCCATCTGAAACTGGAATGCAATTTGAAACAAATAGAATAGTCTAGAGTGATGGCACCACCGAGTTCCGTGTCATACATGATAATTAAATGTATTTTGCGACTTATAAGATGCTATGATACATTAGACACACCACAAATTTACAAGGTAGCAATTGCAAGCAATTTTAATTTGATTGTATAATAGCCCTCCCCCACTACTGGGTTGTCTCACCATAAATAAGGCAACACCCTTGTTTATAACCCTTAAATTGCCTTAATTTATAACCCCTAATCACTATCAATATTGGTTATTATATATTGAGGGCTATTCCATATGGTGTATAATATGGAACATAATATATATATATATATAAAACTTCTATGGTTACCAGGACCAAAGCAAAGTTCCCAAATGGTTGAAGATCAACAAAGTCTTGATACCGGATTTCGTCATATCAGACCCCAAGGTGGCGCCGGTGTGGGAGATCGTAGGAGCAGAGTTCAGCAAGTCGGAGAGTCACACGGCGGATGGCATCTCCATCCGTTTTCCGAGGGTGACCAGAATTCGCGATGACAAGGATTGGGAGACGGCCACCAATCTCAACCAACTCAGGGTATGTGCCAGGGGCCCGTCGTCAGAAACAAAGTTAGTCGTTAGTCTTAACATAAACTTTTTCTCGTAGAAAGTTGACTGAAAAATAATGATGATTTACGAGTTTACTGATAAAGTTACACATAATGAGTTTCACATACGCAGTGTATAGAGGTCTGATCTACCAGGAAAAGGTAAATGTTATTAAGACTAATGTTAAGGTATATTTTTGACAACAGGCACCAGCGACACTACGAATGTTATTTCTTCTCATCATTTCTTCTAAGCGTGTCATACTGTAGTATTTCTTGAACTGTCAGTTCTTATTTCACTCGGTATTTTAAGCAGTTCATCTAGGCTGCGTTTTGCTCGTTTACATTATGTTTTAGTCATGTGACTCGCGGGTTTCCTTGTCGCGTTATAAAAGCGTCTGTTGTGCGTGGCGCGGGCCTTTTGCTTGAGCCGTATTTATACATTTGCGTGCGCTCGCGCATTTTTCCACGATGCACCATACATTGTAAGTGTTGTTTCTTGGTTCTCGCCTAATTTCTTATAATTTGGATCTTTATTATATAATTTTGGATATAATGAACATTACATGACATGAGCTACATAATATTTAGTGTGCATTATTTTGTATTTACAGTTTTACCTGCACGTGTGCAGCTACATCACGTGTTGAGTAATAAATTTGGGGCGTATGAAAAAGATGCCGAGTTGTGAAATATTGGTTAACACGCACGGAATGTAACAACGAATATTAACCATATTTCACACGGGAATTTTGTGGCTATAGCCGATGGGAGAATTATTTGTTACTAAGCTATAATAAGATGCATTTGGCTTTATCTCAGTGACAGCACCGTAACTCCTTTTGATTTCGTCTTGATAAAACCTGACGGTATGTAATGCAAGAGTTATTCATCAAACTATTGTAAGATCGGTTTACTTTCAACAACGGCAACCCTGAAAGGGCTTGTGATTCGTGTCCGACCCTTCGCACATCGGATTCTGCACCCTAGGTGGCAGCACGTGTGGCTCTCGCTCATGGTTCTTTTCTTGTAGGACCTATTTGAGAAGTCGAAGGAGACATCAGACATTGCTGATCTCTTCTCACCGGGTACAAAGAAGAAGCCATCCGGCAACGACGACGATGATGACGATGATGCGGGACGTGGGATGCAAGGATCGGACGTTGGCAGCAGTGCCTCCAGTAGTAGAACCTCCACTCCTGCTGCTTCTCCACTCAAGCGGAAGATCAAGGAGGATCCGGAATCCATTTCCAAAAAGAAGGTAGAATTAGCGCGGGTTGAAGCCACCGGTGGTGTACGAATGCCAGCATGACTGGCAGTGTTTTCACAGTTCGGAGTTTCTGTTCAGAGATTTGGTTATTATAGCTAAGCACAAACAGGTCGACGGTTGCGCTAAGTTCATCGCAGCGTAGGTGGCGCCACTGTGTCATTAGAAAACCCCAGCGGCATCTACCCATGATATGTTAGTGCCGGCGTTTGGAACAAATATATGTGCAAAAATACTACAGAGATTCTTTCCTGTGTTTTAGCGGAAATTAGAAGGCGAAACCACAAACGAAACATCGCCAATGAAGAAGCGAACCCCTGAGAAAAAGCAGAGGTCCGAGAAAAGCCACAAGCACGGTTCGTCCGTCAAATTGAGTGAAGTCGATAAGCAAGTAGGTGGCCTGGTTTGCGAGCAATATCAGAATTCCACCGTTCCATCTTCTCGATAACAAACGATCTTCTCGACATCGGTTCCCTCTACTCTCGATTACTCTCGCTGATTTTACGCGCCTGAAATGACTTACCATACAATGGCATGCTCATTCGTTATGCTAACTGTGACCGATTCTCGCAAAGTGATGTTGATCACGACGTTATTGCACGCGACGGCGGCGATTGTGTCGTCATTGCTGGGCTGTGCAAAATTCCTCTTAGAATACCTGAGCCGTTATTAGCCTATGCCGTGGACGGGGTGGACAGATTGCTCATTCGCATGATTGCTTGGCTGTCACGTAGCAGCTCAGTCTGGCATGGATGATCGGCAATTATCGTCAAGGCGACGATCCTGGCTTATCGTGGTGACAATCGCGGCTCGTTGCCACGGCGACGAGTGACGATCGTCGTTTATCGTCAGGGCGAGCTCGCTCCCAGAAGAGCTTTAAAGTTTGGCCAGACAATCGACGTTATCGCGTCGCCGCTGCTCCCTGTTCAACTCTCGAGCGATTTGATATCACGAGAAAGGAAGCTGTTGTGTGTTGAGCTAGCGAAAGCGATCATAACCGAAACACTGTGCAACGCCCTGGCCGCTGACAACGACGGGTGTCCGTGCGTGCGCGTGTGTGTGCGTGCGCGTGTGAGTGCATGCGTGTGTGTGCGCGCGTGTGTGTGTGTGTGTGTGTGTGTGTGTGTGTGTGTGTGTGTGTGTGTGTGTGTGTGTGTGTGTGTGTGTGTGTGTGTGTGTGTGTGTGCGTGCTGGCGTGCGTGCGTGCGCGTGCGTGTGCGTAGGGAGTGTCGAATTTCCGTGAGAGGCAATCGGGCTTTGCAGAGTGGTCTCTTTCCACGTCGGCCAAGGCTGATTCGTGGGCGCGTGTGTGCTGGTAACTACTGGCTTATTCATAAAGGAATATGGTGCGGCGCGCACGTAGCCCTGCTCCAATTCCTGCCTCCCTGCGTAGTTCCCTCATTGATGAATGGCGATCGCGTGCCCCGCTAACCGGCAATGTGCCGCGTGTGTAATGTGACATGGCGTGACACACTTGACACGTGTGACGTGACGTGACGCACTTGACGCATGCTTCGTGTGACGTGACGTCACGTGGCACACTTGACGCGTGTGACGTGTGACGTGACGTGACGCACTTAAAGCGTCCGGCGTGTGACGTGACGTGTCGTGAGACGCACTTGATGCGTGCTACGTGTGACATGACGTGACGAACTGGACGCGTTCCGCGTGTGACGTGACGTGACGCACTTGATGCATGCTTCGTGTTACGTGACGCGACGCACTTAAAGCGTGCCGCGAGTGACGTGACGTGACGTGACACACTTGACGCGTCCCGCGTGTAACGTGACGCGCCGTGACGGACTTGACGCGTGTGACGTGTGACGTAATGTTACGTTGTTATGTTATGTTAGATCGAGTAAATTTCTAATGTAAATGGCTAACATACTGTTAATACATAGCGATGAAACGTAATGTGGGGCGGAGAGAGCGCGCGGGGCGGTGAGAGCAAAATTTCGGCGCCATTATGCAAATCGGCTTGATCAAAACGGCGTGCTAAGTGATTAACTTGGCTGAGCGAGAGAGGTGGCGCTCGTGCGCGTGCGTGTGCGCGTGCGTGCGTGCGTGCGTGTGGGTGCGTGCTTGTGTGTGGGAGGATAAATAGGCGAGCCATCTGGCGGATGAGCTTGTATATTAATTACTTTCGGCAAGTGTTATCGTTGCGCCCGTGTGACGACCGCTGCTCACACCCACTCTCGGCGATAAACTTTCGTCTCTCTCTCTCTCTCTCTCTCTCTCGATGTGTGCACATTAGTTTAAAAGTAAAATAATTAATTTCGAGAATGGCTTAGTCGAAGCTTGATTCGTTTATTTCTTCGTCGGTGTCTCACATTAAGTTTTAAAAACTTATATTTTCAATTGGTTAGGTGTATGAACCGCTATAGATTTGAAAGCCACTATGTCTCAATTAAATTGCAAGTTAGTAAAATTGGTTTGATGTTTTGAAAATAAATTGTACGTTTAGAAAAGTAAATTTTACAATGATGTGAAGGAATTTAAAGTATATCAGGGCCGCCTGTCGCCTCATCCTGTCCGTCTACACTCATTTTCCTGTTCTTTTATGGGGGAAAGTTGTGAGGATTAATTTGCGCAGCTTTCTAACACTAACATTTCCTGATCTTTGTCACGTCTGCTGAATTGATTTAACTGCCATGAATTTAAAATTCTCGCGCACGTACCGTGGTACATTGCCGCGGTTGCAGGGGCTGCACTCCTGTTTCCATCCGCGTGAGAATTGCGTCGCTACGTGAAAAAGAACACGTCGCAGTGTCCCATTTCGCAACGAGGGATGATGTCAAGTTGGCGTCTGCTTGCCAGTAGATAGTTCTACTCCGGCTCGAGGGCAGACTCAAGCTGATCCAAGGCCCCTCAATTCTTCGGCGCAAGATCAGGCTGCGCTCGAATTGGGATGGGCGGAGTAACTGGAGGTTCTGGGCTGATGGATGCAACTCGCCCGACTATCATACGCTGTGGCGATGTCCGCATCATGCCCACTGCCGTGAGAACGCATAAGGAATATTCCCGGTCAGGAGCCATGAGTCCATGCTCCAGTCGAGCTCAGCGATGGTACATGGTATCTCTCCCGTTTGCAGCTGTCCCGTATCACGCACCGTGCCGGACCATCAGTGGGAGTGGACGGTGACAGCAAGGCCTGTATTGCTTTCTCTCAGCTGTCCCGTGCTGTATCTCCTCGTCCGCCTCGTATGCGTACGTCTACCCTGTTGGCATGATCATAAACGATGGAGCAGCGCGCAGATCTGCTCTGTGACGAGTGCGGCGATCTAGCGTCTGTAAAACGGCGTCTGTCTCATCCGATCATGCTCCTGTGCGTGCTCTTTGCAGCAAGTGGTCCAGAAATGTCTAGCTGGGACCGCAGGTCTGCAGTGCACATAGGTCTGCTTGCGCAGTGCAAACCAAGCCGCAGACCGTCAGATCGCGGAGCTGTAGGTATCCCACACGCCCGTCGCGGTATATATAGTGGTAGGCTAGAGAACTGAGAAATGGCTTCACCTTCGGTTGTCATAGCCTCAGACCGTAAGTATGGTGATGCATGAGGTAGCAGACTGGTGGCTTAAGGTCGTAATTATGAGTCGTCGTAAATGATCGTCGCTGCGTAGAATCACGAAGGGGTCCGGGAGCCGTTAGAGCGCGCACACGAGTCCGCGCGTCGTGCTTCTTACGCTTTTTTTGTGTTCAGGCTTTTTATCAAACCAAGGCATAAACTTAAAGATATAGGCTACGGCCTAAACAAAGAATACGTTCAATGTAATGGAATTATATGAAGATATTATAGCCATACATTATGCCATAGCGTTTGCACATTTTGATGTTTTAATGTTATGCGATGCCATTTCCAGTTTCTTGCTGGACACATATATTTAATCACGAGTATATGTGTGCGCGCGCGTTTCACATCGTCGGTAAGCAAACTCTGTCTCCCAATGGTCTGGTACTCGGCTGTCGGCGTGAGGCGGCAAGTCGGAGCATTGCTGGCGCGTCCGGACTAACGTCGTGCGGAGTTGTCGGCAGGTTTCGTAGACAATTGTATGACGGAGGTATAGGGCTCTAGGTAAGGAGATTTCGCACTTGAGTCTGAGACTCGTGTCATATAGTGCAGCTAAAAGGCCTGCGCGGAGAAGAGCTATTGGACCGTTCTCTGGGGCGTGACATAGACTTCGGCAGCCGGTCTGCATGGGAAATCTTTCTGTGAGAACGAAGACAACCAGATAAAGCGCCCTTAAAGACAGAGGTCTGAGACATGAATTCTGGCTGCAAATAGCCGTGAGAGCTAGGAGACATGTGCTATGTTGCACAAGGTGCGAAGCTCAGACTCTCTCAAGATTAGAGGTGAGGCAAGACCGTGCACGCTGGCGCTGGTGCTCCGTGCGATTACGAACGCGGCCGAGAAAATTTACGTAATGGACAGAGATATGGTATGCACGAGGAATCCGCAGCCGCGGAGCCGCCTGTGAGATCTTTTTCTTCGCTCGCTTAACGGGAAATTGCTAACAGAGAAACAAGCTTGCTCACATTAACCGCATGCCTCAGCGTTAACATATAGGCGCATCTTATGGTGATTTCGGCAAGTACATCGGTTTTGATGTGTAGTAAGCCGCTCAATACGATGATCGTGCAGGGCCCTCCATTTAACCGCAGAACCATATTGGGTGGGTAAACGGACATCGCCGGCACTAGCACCCAACGCTGTTGCGAGACGACTGTCAGGTGCATATGACTGTGTGCGCTCAAGCTCGAAGTGATGTGTGTGGCCAGAATCGTAGACGATCATATTGGTTGCAGCATATCCTGCTGCTAAATAGGTACGCTGTCATGATACTGATGTATGATGGTCATGATGAATGATGATCGATGGAAGTCATGTATGCATCGTAGACTGGGGATGATTGGTTGATTGATGATTGCACGATGACGATGAACACGTCGGTATGACAAATGATGATGACGAAGAATGATACGACGATGATGTATGATGTATGATATGATGTGATGTATGAGGAGGCTCGTTAGCACGGGCAGGTGGCATGTGTGTCGTTCTCTATCCGTCTGTCCGTCCTGGCCATCCGTCTCGTCCCTGCCTCCTGTCGCGTGCGCGTCCATCCATACCACTGGTATCCATGACCTCCTGTTCGGCCGTCCATCCATACTGTCCCTACCTCCTGTCGCGTGTCCGTACATCCATTCTCTGCCGCTCCTCCTGTCCCGTCACCGTCGCATGCCGTTCTGTCCGCTCCGCTCCTGTCCGTCCTGTCGCATCCGTTCGGTAGCGCTCCGTCCGCCCTATGGCTCGTCTGTCGCATCCCGTCTGTCCGTCCATCCGTCGCGCTATCCCACCGACGCACCGTCCGGTATATAGTCGTACAGATGGAATTG